CATAAAACATTATACATTTAAAATTATTCAAGTCATACAAAAATATGCTCCATGACCATAAGACATTAACTAGAAATCAATAAGAGAAAGATCTCTGGAAAAATCCCTCAAATATTTGGAAACTAAACAACATACTTCTAAATATTCCACAAATCAAAGAAGAAATCAAAATTGAAATTTGAAAGTATTTTGAAGAGAATGAAAATAAAAACAAGGCATATAAAAATTTCCAGGATACCTCTACAGCAGTTCTTATGAGAAATGCTAAATCACTAAAGAAGAAAGTTCTCATATCAAAGACCTCAGATTTCACCTTAAAATACAAGAAAAAGAAGAACAAATGAAACCCAAAGTAAAAAGAATAAAGGAAATAATAAAAATTAATGCAGACATAAAAAAATAGAAAACAGAAAAAAATAGAAAAAATTCAATGAAATTAAAACTTGGCTTTTTGGAATCAGTAATATTGATAAACATCTAACCAGACAGATAAGGTAAAAAAGAAAGAAGAGACAAATTAACAGCATCAGAATTGAAAGGAGAGATATTACTATAGACTCTAAGGAAATTAAAAGAATAATAAGTAATTTACAAAAGAAAATTAAACATATTTAAATTGGATTACATCAAATTTAAAATTCTTTACTGTAAATAATACCATTGAAAAAGTGAAAAGACAGTCCACAGTATGGGAAAAAAACAACTGAAAATCATGTATCTGATATGGAACTTGATCTAGCATATGTAAAGAACTCTTACAATTCAACAATAAAAATAGAAAAACCCAATTAAAAAGTAGAGAAACAATTTGAATAGTCATTTTTCTGCAAAGAAGATATACAAATGGACAAGATGCACATAAAAAGATGCTCAACAACATTAGTCACCAGGGAAATGCAAATAAAACTACAGTGAGATACCACTTCACACCCACTAACAACAGATGATAAATAACTATGTTTGTGAGGATGTGGAAAAATTAGAACAATCATACATTACTCTTGGGAATGTAAAGTGAGACAACCACTATGGAAAATAGTTTGGCAGCTCCTCAAAAAGTTAAATATAGAGTTAAAATACAATCCAGTAACTCCACTCTAGATATATACTCAAGAGAAAAGAAAACACATGCCCACGCAAAAATTTGTACATGAATGTTCATAGCAGCATTATTCATAATGGTCAAAAAGTGGAAATCATCCAAATATCCATTAATGATGAAAAGATAAATGAAATATGTTATTTCCATACAATAGAATATTATTGGGCCAAAAAAAGCAATTAAGCACTTATACATGTAACAACATGAAAATAGTATTCCAAGTGAAATAAATCAGTCTAAAAATAGCACATGTTATTCCATTTATATGAAATGTCCAGAATAAGCAAGTCTATAGAGACAGAAAGTAGATTAGTGGTTCCCAGAGCTGTCAGAGAGAGGAGAATAAGGAGTAACAGCTAATAGGCATGAAGTTTCTTTTAAGGTAAACAAAACAATTCTAAAATTAGATGGTAGGATGGTTTGAAAACCCCATAAATATACTAAAAGTCATCGAATAGTACCTTTTAAGCAGGTGAATTGTATGGTATCTAAATTATATCTCAGTGAAGCTGTTAAAAAATAATAAATAAATATTATGAACAACTTTATGGCAATAGATGTGACGCCTTACATGAAATGGGCAAATTCCTTGAAAGACACGAACTAACAAAGCTCACTCAAGAAGAAATAGATGACTTTAATAACCTTATATCTATTAAAGAAGTTTAATCTATAGTTAACAATCTAACCAGAAAGTAAACATCAGTCACAGATAATTTCTCTGGTGAACAGTCCCAAACAATTAAGGAACAAACAATACAAATCCTACACAAAACCTTCTAAAATTTAAAGAAGAAGGAATACTTCCTAACTCACATTATAAGGCCAGGATTCCCTTGATACTAAAATCTGGCAGACATAGTAGCAAAAGGAAATTACAGATCAATATATCTCTCATGGTCATACAAGTAAAATTCCTGAGCACAATATTAGCATATCAAGTCCCACAATATATAAAAAGAATAATACACATGACCAAATGCAACAGTGTTTCAATATCCACAAACCAATCAGTGTAATCTACTATTTTAACAGTATAAAGAAGGAAAAAAACACAGGACCTTTTCAGAAAAGTCTTATGCAGAAAAATCATTTGACAAAACCCATCATCTATTCCTGATAAAAACTCTTCCAGGGGCCAACCTGGTGGCGCAGCAGTTAAGTGCACATGTTCTGCTTTGGCAGCCTGAGGTGGCTCACCGGTTCGGATCCTGGGTGTGGACATGGCACCACTTGGCAAGCCATGCTGTGGTGGGCGTCCCACATATAAAGTAGAGGAAGATGGGCATGGATGTTAGCTCAGGGCCAGTCTTCCTCAGCAAAAAGAGGAGAATTGGCAGCAGATGTTAGCTAGGGCTAGTCTTCCTCTAAAAAAAAAACAACAACAACAACAATAACAACAAAAACTCTTCCAACCAGGAATAAAGGGAGCTTTCTCCAAATATTAAAGAGCAGATATAAATAACCTGCAGCTAACATTAGACTTAATGATGAAAGACCAAATGCTCTCCTCTTCAGATGAAGAATAAGAGAAGGATGTCCACTCTACTGTATTCAACACTCTACTAGAGGTTGTAGGCAGCGCAATCAGGGAAGGAAAAGAAATAAAAGCATCAAGATTAGAAAGGAACAAGTAAAACTCTTTATTCATGGCCAACGTGATTGGCTATCTAGAAAATCCAATGGAATCTACAAAAAGCTAGTAGAACTAACAAATGAGTTTACTAAGGTGCAGGATAGAAGATCAATATATAAAAACCAATTGTCTTTCTATATTTTATCAACAAGTAATTAGACTTTGAAATGTTATAAAACAACACCATTTTTACCATAGAATAAAAGGTAGGAACTATTTAGGGGTAAATCTGACCAAAGATGCAGAAGATCTACACTTTAAAAACTGAACAATTCAACATAGCACTGGAATTCCTAGCCGGAGCAATTAGGCAAGAAAAAAAAAAGAAGGCATCCAAATCCAAACGGAAGAAGTGAAAGCATCTCTCTTTGAAGATGACATGATATTATGTATAGAAATCCCTGAAGACTTTACCAAAAACTGTTAGAACTAATCAATGAATTCAGTAAAATTGCAAGATGCACAATCAACATAAAAAAATCAGTGTTTCTATTCAGCAATAAAAAGTAGTGAACTATTGTTAAACATTATAACATAGATGAATCTGAAATCAACTCTGCTACGTAAAAGAAACCAGACGAGAAAGAGCACACGCTGTTTGATTTTATTTACATAAAATTTCAAAACATGCAAATCTATACTGACAGAAAACAAATGAGTGGTTGCCTTTGGTGCAGGAGAAACGGAGGGGCCGGAGGGATTACAAAGCGAAATGAGGAATCTTTTGAGAGTGATGGATATCTGCATTATCTTGATGGTAGTGCTGGCTTCACTGGTATTGCTATGTCCAATGTATCAGATTTTATACCTTAAATATGTATAGTTCATTTTATGTCAATTACGCCTTAGCAAAGCTATTTTTAAAAATTAAAGCAAAAGCAAAGAAAAAAAATTCCTTATGGAAAGTTAATTTAACAAGAAGTATTACACTTAACATCTGGGAATAAGCTATGGTTAGATTGAAATGCAATAATAATTTATTTTAATTGAGAATGTTGAAAGCTTATAGTTCATTTATATTTATTTTAAAGATCACTCAGAAAAATCTGCTTCATACAATTAAGGCTTCATAAATCCCTCTACATTAGTAAAAGACCCATTTAAAAAAAAAATCAACATCTGGTTTTACAACCTAACAATCATAATATTGTACTCTTGGCTTCTGATTATTGCATATATTTCACAAATTTCATAGTAGTTTGGAAATATAATTCTAGCTTATGTTCTTCATTTTTAACATTTATTGAGTATTTTATATCAGGGGAAATCAGAAGGATAAGCATCTAACATTTTGTAATACGTATTATACTTTAAATATCATATGTAATTCAATTTACATGTTTAAAACTGTCATTCAATGTAAACTGCGTACAAATTTCTCCTTCTCTTACCACATTTCTGAATTTTATGTGGACAGAAAAATGATTACGCAGTGGCTAAGGAAAGATTTCCAAAAGTAAAACATAGTTCTCTTATAAATTGCCAGATATTTGATACATATTTTTTATATGAAATACTGTGGACTAGAGGCTATAATGTATATTCACCCATATAAAAAGTATTCTCTGCCTTCAGGGAGTTTATAATGTAATCGAGGAAATAAGATTGACACATAATAGTATAATCAATGATAGAACTGATAAAAATTAGTAATGCAATTCAGCAGCCAATGAGTAATCTCTATGAGTTCAGAGGAAGCAAAGCGGTTTGATATGGTTTCCAGATGATGATGAGGTAGAAGCTTATCGCACTCTACCATATTTGCTTATTTACTTGTCAGATTTCCCATTATAATATAAGCTCCTTGAAAGCAGAGATCTTGTCTTGTTATGAGCTAAGCACTAAAGACATAGGTGTCTAGTTCAGTGCCTGCACATAGTACACACTCGATAAACAGTTGATGAGTAATGCATGAATAACAGAAAAAAACCTTAAAAGCATGTAGGATTTGAACACACAAATAAGACAATTCAGCTTTTGGCAGAGCTGGTAGCGTTAAGCAAAAGCACATGGTTGGAGAAGCAAGAGTAATTCAGCAAGAGTGGGCAGGCCAATGTGCCTGGAGGGTAAGATGCATGCAGAACAGTGAGATGAGATAGAACTAGAGTGGACAGTACAGCCCCAATTGAGACTGAAGGTAATAACACTAGTTAGAGGACTGAAAATAATGCACACATGAGCCAAAGAAGACCTAAGCCAGGGTATGAACAGTGGAAAAGGAAACTAGTGATAACCCAACATCCATTAGAAAGAAAGAACTGTGCTCACTTCAGCAGTACCTATTAAAGTTGGAATGATACAGAGAAGATTAGCATGGTCCTTGCACAAGGATGACATGCAAATTCATGATGTATCCATGTTATTGTACAAAAAAAAAAAAAAAAAAACAACTGCCAGCATGTGTTGGCTGAGCTGAGAGGGAGCCTAAAGAAGTGTGGAAAGTCAGGGATGACCAAGCCCTCAAGTCAGGGTAACAGGAAATATAATGGTGCCTTTTCAACATAGGATGGGCGATTAATTTTAATATGAATATTGTGAGTTACCTTTTACTACAAACTTAAATTTTGGCACATCAAACAAGAAATTTCAAGGAAAATGTGTGAAATTTTAAGACAGAGCATTGGAGAGATCAGAATTAAATAAATTGTCTTAAAGAAAACATGAATCGGAGTTTTTGGCTGGATCCAGAAGACTAGATCTGAGCTGTAGTAAGTAAGCAGAAAGAAGAGAAAAACATCAACGAGAGAACAAGGAAGACGCTCAAGAGTTTACAGCACTTGAAAGACAGAAGAGCCATCTCAAGGCAGGGCTTGATAATAGTGCAAATACTACCAGAAGGTTAAAGAGAAGGATTTGATCACCATGGAAGACAGCAGTTACCTCTGAGAATATAATTCAGTGGTGACCATCAGGTTCTTAATTTTAAAGGAGAAAAAATAGTGAAGATTTTGATGCAACATAATATGTACATAGTACTGTCTCAAGTGCTCCATAGCACATGTAGCTAGTGGATACAATGATGGACAATGCAAATTTAGAATATTTCCCTGCTCTCAGAAATTTCCATTGGACAGCGTTGCTCTAGACTATGGCTTTTTGAAAGTGTGCAAATTAACTACTAATTTTCCTGAAATATATTTGCATTATAATGGAATAATGTATTCATCCTCTTTGGTTCTTCCTCCCAAGAGTAAACACAAGCTCACATGTGGACACACACACAGCATTTTACCATAAAAGACATAAATCAAAAACAGAATCCGACTTGCAGAGAACCATATGCATTGATTACAAATCCCTAGAAATACTACATAACTGGCAAATGTCTTCTTTTTTTATTGTTTTTCCTGATACTTCAAGACATTAAGCATTTTCAGTAAACACATTTCACAGATAGGTTTCACAGATGGGCAGACTGAGGCCTAACATGAGGAACAGTTATCAGAAATAGTGATGAGGAATGTCGGTTGCTCCAGTGTGTTCCTTTCTCTGAGGATTCTCTTTTCAACAGCCAGAGCTCAGTCTGTTCCCTTCCCATGTACTTCCACAGATAGTATTTCCTTTCTTCTCTCTGACAGGTGTCAAAAACATCTCCTGGGCTATGTCAAATGCAGGCTGAGAAATCAACCATGGACCAGATACCTCCTACTAGACAAGCACTATATGTATAGGTGGATATTTCACCTGACACAATTATCCACCACACTATTCTGGCATACAACTGCACTTGAATATCCAGTTTTATCCTGCTTTTCTGCCAAGGAACAAAATGAAAACTTCAAAAAGGCATCTTCTTTAGTTGCCCTCTCTATTCACTACAAATGTCATTATTGATATTTATTTGCACATACGTAATAAAGTCAAATTCTTAAAAGCACCCAGAGTGGACTCCAGCAACTCAAAAAATAGACCTGAATAATAGGGCACACATTTCGAAGGGATAGGAAGGATGATACACATGGCAGAAGGACTAAGATTAATTCCACTTTCCCAACTTCCCACGGTGGAAGACTGGATTTTTCTGGCCCATGACTCCCAATGAAGTTCTCCATAGCATTTTAGGAACTTCCAAGGATAAGGATAATCAACAGTACTTGACAAATTTGAATTATATTGCTTGATGATTTTTTTTAGACTTTCTCCTTTTCGTCCATTTTGTTAGCTTTACAGCACCCAGCCAGGTAAAATGTATGTGGAGCTACCAACAAAAGGGAGCAGGCTCCATGATTCACTGGAATTATTATCTGCTTGATCAAGACTGTTCCCACAAATCCCTGTCCAATGATTCACAAGATTATCCTCCTAAAATTCTTAAGTGCTTCCCAAGCTCTTGCTTCCTTCATTCAAGAATCTCATGAAATTCAACATCCTCCAGAAAGTCTGTTTCAGTCCGTGGGTTTAGCAAATTGATTTTCTTCACCTCATCCCCTGCTTTCTGTCATTTCCATTCAAATCACAATTCAAACATCATCTCCACAATGAGGTCCTGCTTGGCCATCCCCTGTGTCATCAACTGTCGCTAACTCACTGTCACATCATCACACTTCATTTTCATCATAGCACTTACCACTAGGGAAAGTTACCTTTATTTAAGTTCATAATATGTTTGTTTCATGTATGCTTCCCCAAATGAAATTTGAGCTTCATGAGAGAAGGCTTTGTCTGCTTTGCTTCCCACACTATGTCTGGCACATTATAGGCAATTGAGCACTTATTGAACGTAATCCAATTGAGCCTTCAGATCTAACTTCCAGTGCACAGTTAATCCAGGGGATAGAGGTACACATTAAATGACACCAAGAGGAAAAAATCAAGCAAATCAAGAATGTGGGAGATTATATATAATAACTGACTAGAACTGCTAAAAAAGTCAAAGTTGGGGAAGAATTCCAGATTAAAAGAAACCAAAGAAGCATAAAAGCAAAATGACATGCATGAATCTTGATTGGATTCTTACATGAGGAGAAATAAAACATTACCAAAAAAGACGTTCTTGGAAAAAAATACAGATATTTGAAGAGGATTTAGATATTCAATGATTTAGGAATTAGTGCTATTTTCTTAGAAATGATGATGACATTGTGGTGATTTAGGCATAGGTCCTGATTCTTAAGAGATCCATGCTAAATTATGATGGGTGAAAAATTTTAATATCTGTAACTGAAACTTTCAAATAGAATGGCAAAACAATATATGTGGTGAAGACAAAGAGAAAGAAAGACGCAGTATAGAGGGCAAATCTTAAAGGATTTATATGAGTGTTTAATATACTTGTCTTTTGGCTTATTTGCATGTTTTCTTATGAAAATTTTCAACCTTAGGGGAAAACAGCAGTTGAAAAACTGACTAGCTAGACGGAAGGTAGCAAACTCCTTTTGATTCTAGCCTACCTAAGACCAAATGCTCGGGACCCACTCTTCCTCCAATTTTTCATGATAAGAATGATTATTTACACTGATTTAATCATCTAAGCCATCTGTTTGTTGACTGTTCTCCAGTTGTACGTCTTTATACCATTTTGTTCATTGATAATCTTTTCTAGAATAGGAGCCCAGATGTCAGGGATCACGCCAATTAATTCATCTCCAATGCCCATACTAGAGTGCCAAACACAGAAAGATGATTAACAAATCATTTGGAGGAAGAAATTTATGCAGATCAACTTCCCATTTAGGTAAGTCATGGACCCTGAGCATCCAGATGGAGATCTTGAAACCCGTCCCAAGAGAGCTGGTCATGAAAGGGAAAGTAGCTAATATTGTAAAATGAAGTAAGTCTGGTTCAGTTCCCAAATGCTTACATTGCGACTTTCACCAAACCTACCTTAAACACTATGGTCACTGAAAAGGGCATCTTGCAGGGCCCAAAATGGTGTACTCAAACTAGTGAATTGCTCCTTTCCTTTGACTTTCCAGATTGTCCACCAGAATGTAAGCCACAAGAGAGCAAGAGTTTGACTACTTGTCCACACTGCTGTATTATCAGTGCCTAAAAAGAGTGGCTAGAACTTATTAGATACCCAATAAATATTTGTTCAATGAATGAATGAATTGAATTCCGTAGAACAACGGTTCTCCAACTTTAACATCCATCAGAATCACCAAGAGCACTTGCTAAAACATAGATTGCTGAACCTTACCTCCAGAATTTCTGATTCAGTACTACAGGGGGTGTGGCCCAAAAGTATGAATTTCTAACAAGCTGCTACATAATGCTAATGCTACTGGCCTAGGGACCACGTTTAGAAAATCACTGCTGTAGGAAATACCTCTTTTAACTTTCCCCTTGCTTCAGATAGCTGCTGCAGAAACACAGTACTCTGCAGTGCTTTCGTATAAGATACTTAATGTACTTCATTGTTTATTTGACAAATAATCTTCTTAGGGTATTATAGAAACATTTAAGCTTGAGTTTAGATTACTCAAAATTTAGACACTTTCCCATCAATCAAGCCCAATATTTACCATAGGTGTTTTCCTCCCTGCCAGGGGAAGCTAGAATTCCACGTGATCAGCTCAGCATACTACTCCTCCAGCTCACATTTGTGCATTTGGAAGAAGGCTTGGAAAATATGCACTATCTCTTTGCAGCATGATTGCTCTGTGAAGCATGTCTGCCCCCAGAGAAATCAGGGCCTGGTGCACTGCAGAAATTTATGTTAAAGAAAGCCTGTTTATGAGAGGCGAATGTGTAACCCAAATTTATCTTCCAGTGACAACTTCAGAATCTGAAAATTTCCAACTTCTCCCCTTGTGAATTGCTTGAAATTGCTGTTTTTCAAGTCAAGAACACCTGTTTAGTGTTTTTCTCCTCGCCCTCCCTGGTAAATGGGTCCGCTAGGAAAACAGCATCTGAAGGTTTTAATGAATAAGAAACACGAAGTATTGACAGATTTCAGCACGTTATACAACCCTTACCCTGTCCCCCTAATGAGGTAAGATCAAAAAGGAAGAAAACAGTTGTGATATTGGGCTCTGGAGTTTGTTTTTAAACTGCTGCAAATGAGCTCAGATAGAGTACCATTCTAGCGGGTACAGTCATAAGCAATTTGCACATTGCTGTGAAATAACATACACAGACATGACTTTGGTAAGTGAACAACTAAAGGTTTGATGTTCAGCATCAGGCACCCTTCCAAATAACTTTCCATCTCAACTATACGACACTCTAGCAATCAAAATTCCGCTTGTGCCTTTACCACTGGGTCAGATCTCAGCACAAAGCAGAAAACAAAAACAAAAAAGCCTGAGCCACTTATTGAATCTTATTCTAATTCAATAGTTGGGTACCTACTCTGTACAAAGGAAAATATTAATTACGGCGAGGTGAGATGAGGAATCTGTAAAGGCTTCAGGAGGATATAAC